GTACGTTGTGTATGTTTAGATGTAATGACCGCAAGAATTTGGACAGGCACCTAGTTTCATTTGTGCCTCACCTCCGCCAGAAGGAAACTCAAATAGCTTCTAATAAATACCTTGGGGACCTAGCTTATTTAAAGGAGAGTCCAGCCCCCCACAGTTTCAACACTACAGTAAGGGACTATGTGCCTTTGACACAAGGTGAGAGTGCTAGATTTTGGGCAACCAAGTCCCGTGGCGAGCCAGTGTCACCCTTGGTTTCTCTGCCATTGCCTCAGGCCTCTAATCCTGTCAGCCTTCCACCTGCTTACTATCATATGCCTACCATGTCATCCACAACAACTCTTGCCAGCATACCGCCTTCTTACCATTATCTGCCTACCATGACATCTACCACACCTGCAAACCTACCGCAACCTTCCTACCAGCATCTGCCTATTATGTCATCTACCATACCTGCCGATCATCTTTTACCACAAACCATGCCTCATTTTCAAACTGCTACAGCTCAATCTCATTTGCCAGTACCATCATTATATCCAACAACTACAGCAACCGGTCGACCACAACAATCCACCATACCATCCGCTCCAACTTTACAGATGTCAACAATGCCTTCCACAACTCATTTCTATACAGCCGAACCTCTAGAACAATCTTTAAACATACCATCTCCATCCATTAATACAACCATTACCACCACAGCTGATCTTTCATCTTATCTACCAATCGATGTGGATGAATGTCGTGACTATGAGGCATTTTCACCTGAGATTGGCTCCCCTACAAGGAAGGTCCTTGAAAGGGAGGCGGTAGCCATGTCAAAAGATGAAGAGGTGATGGAATGCATCTTGCCACAGTTGTTGGGGCAGGATCCGTCAGGTACCTGTAGCATCCTGGATGCAAGGCATGCCATATCAAATGACAAAAAGAAACCAGATGTCTCAGAGGATTCAAACCACCAAATTATTCAGGCCCTTGCAAATTTGACTAAGAGTCAACAATTAATCCTACAAGAGTTGGGGCACTTAAACAAATCTGTTACCACCTTGTCTTCCGACATCTCGTTTCTAAGAGGCCAGTTTAGGCAACAGGAACGTATCATCAATAGACAGCAGAGAGTACTTGACCGTCTCAACACAGTAAACCGAATACCTAGAGCCAACGCCAGAACTACCCCCTACAATAGAACCACAGCTGCAGGTACACAAAAGAAACCGAAAGTAAAGTCCGTTGTAGTTAAAGATAATTAATTTTAGATTCAATATAGATGTAATTTTATATTTTAATGGAAATTTTAAGGTATTGTTTATTTGGGTTGTTAATATCAAAAGTAATTTCAGGTTAAGATTAAAAGTTATTTAAATTTACTTAGATTGAAAATTTATCTTTGAAATTCATGAAAAGTTTATAAGTTATTTATATTAGATATAGTCAAAGCTTTCGAGTGTTAAAAGTTAATTTGGGGTGTATTTTTGAACTTATATTTAAATATTTTGGTACTGTTTACATGGTAACTAAATTTTCCTTCAGAAAACCTCTGGTTCTTAGCCATGTTCCACATTGTTCTTAATGTTCAGTAATTTTTCACATTTGGTATATATAAACAAGTCTGTCTGGTATCTACCGCCCTCGTGCTGATGGTCATAATGGTGAAACTTCTGGTGTATCTGAAAAATATTATATAAAAAGAATATATTTTTGTAGTTTTTTTACATAATTTAATATATTACCATGTATTTTAGTTATAATCATAGATGGTATTAATAAGAAAACTAATTTCATTCAGTTTTGGAAATAATTCTTAAAATATTAAGTCTATTTTTCTTTTTAAGAAGTACATGTATATGCAATTATTAAAGGCATAGAAAAAAAAAAATCAAAACTTTAAATGGAAGCTTTTAAAAAAAAAAAAAGAATTAAAAAGTATTTGCGGGGACGCAAATAATAGTAAGGGGGTAAAATGTAGAGTACAGAGACTGGGTACATGTATTTTATAGTGACATATGTGATATAAATGTAAATCTATGCATAGACATGGATAAGATATTTTTGATATATGTTTTTAATTAGTATCCATGAAGCATATTGTTTAATATTCTGTAATTTTTTATTAAAGTCCTTTTGTGTAGGAAATAGTAACTGTTCCAAATAACTTGTACTATACTAGTCTGAAACATATTCATAATTGAGGCAAATAAGTTTTAATTAATATTTAATTGAGTAAAGTTAGAACAATTACAATGATATTATTTTCTTTAGAAATATTGTATTGCTGACATGGGAATATTTGATAAATAATCTGAAATTCATCTTTATAATTTACCAGTTCATAATAATAATCCACCGAATAATCCACAACTAAATGTCGTCTGCAATTTAGGCCATGCGGTCATCACGCTTGGTTGAATCCAATATTCACTTTCAGTTGATTATAAATCGATAACGATAACTTCTCTGTATTACAAAGTTTATACGTTCCATTATTACATCTATCTGTCATTGTATGTTGATTTTTGAAACGAAATGTCTTGTATTTTTGTGAAGATCCAACTTTAGCAACTGTAGTAACTTCACGCACCTTGCTTGATTTTATGAATGAAATGTACTGACATGCGCAGTGGAACCCATGTGTCACTTGGGACGATTTTTCAATAAAAACACTATTTTTACGTTTCGGCAACTGTTTTTAAATACTCTTTGTAATTCCTTTTAGTATTTGTAGTCAACGTCTTCAATGTTTTGCAGATGTTAATGCTCACTATCCTTGATATTTGTCATTTTGGTTCGCCGGTGACACACATAACTTTTGGCAATGTTGTTTACGTATTGTGACTTCCGGTGAAGTTTTACTGGTGTATTTTTAGCTACTATAGAAATTTGTTTAGTACCATACAAAATTTGTTTATTATATGACTGTTACTAAAATTGTATATTATTATGATTTTTGTAATTTATTTGAGAATTCAAATATTTCGTTGGACAGCAAGCGCGCGATCCAACAATTTTCCAACTTTGCCAACAATCCAACAATCCAACATTGACGTAATTTCGACGCTTGTTCGTCAGTTCTGCTTAAATCTTTGGTCGTTACAGTTAGTATTTTATTTCGCTCATCATTAATTTTTGTCAAAATGGTTAATTTTCTCACAAACTTCATTTTTTTGGGGTTAAATTGTAAAGGAAAATAGTAAATTTAGCGTTTTCTAAGTTAGAAAGGAATATTTCAGTTTTAGCGGACTCTTAGGAGCCGGACTCCTATATTTTTTTATCTTTTGCTTAAAGTATTTTATTCTTTTAGTAAATTTAGGAAAGTTCTTAAAACTGTTTTAAAATATCTTTTGGGTTAATTATTGTATTATTGCTGGCAAAGCTTTATTTCCCAAGTTTATCTTTTAAAGTTAGAATTATTGAAATTGTTCATTGTATTTCATGTTACTGTTAACGTTCGTATTTTTTTAATAAATACAATTAAATAGGAAAACATTTGGCAATTAAGGGATAATTTCCTAAAGGTCTGGAAATTATAATAAACAAAACAGTTTATGTAAGGTATAAACTGTATTTCATTGTTAGTTTTTATTCAGGAAAGGTTCTGAATATAACTAATAATAATAAACATTTTTTTATGTAACTGGTGAGGTATCAGTTATTACTATATACAAAAATGTCAGAAAAAGGTATTCTGACTAAATTCACTTGAAATTAGTATTTTCTGTAAGGGTAATTTATTTTCTTAGTTATATAGCAGGACTCAGCCTTTTATGTATTTTTCTAACATACCAACATACAATTATATTGGTAATAGCAAGTGTTATTTTTTTTAGAATTGCACGGACAAAGTTATCCTGCAATCATAAAGATTTTATTAATCATCTCTTGAGTGTAGAGATAAATTATTACATGTATACTGAATAGATTCTTGTCATATCATTTAAGAGTCTATAATTTAATTATCTTACTACTTAAAATTGTTGTTTATCCTGAATATTAATGAAAATCTCTGATTCTCAAAATGAATAAAATATAGAAACTTATATATGTTACTTTTAACAAATGCCTATATTATACTGACCAGATCATATCTTGTCATACTGACTTAGCAATTTCCAAAATACTCATAATTTTGGGTAAAACTTTTGGGTCAAGCATTTCAAGCCCCTGCCCGCTACACACCGAATATACTAGCCCTATTGCTTATAGTATCTAAGATATGGACTTGACCACCAAAACTTAACCTTGTTCACTGATCCATGAAATGAGGTCGAGGTCAAGTGAAAACTGTTTGACGGGCCTGAAGACCTTGCAAGGTACGCACATACCAAATATAGTTATTCTTCTACTTATAATAAGAGAGAATTTAACATTACAAAAAATGTTAACTTTTTTTTCAAGTAGTCACTGAACCATGAAAATGAGGTCAAGGACATTGGACATGTGACTGATGGAAACTTCGTAACATGAGGCATCCATATACAAAGTATGAAGCATCCAGGTCTTCCATCTTCTAAAATATAAAGCTTTTAAGAAGTTAGCTAACGCCGCTGCCGTAGCCACCGGATCACTATCCCTATGTCGAGCTTTCTGCGACAAAAGTCGCAGGCTCGACAAAAACTAAATCTTGATCACTGATCCAAGATCAGGTGAACCCTGCCTGACAGATGTGAAAACCTTGCAAGGGTCACATATATCAAATAAAGTTATCCTATTACTGACGAGAAAGAAATTTACATGACAAAAGGAAAACTAACAGGTTAAACAAAAGTCATTAGTGGTATTAAAATAATCAAATCTTTTTTTTGTACTTTTTAATAATTTGGAATATGGCGCCCTATGATAGTCTCTGTAAAATTAATTTTAGATTTGAAGCAATTTAAACTTTGACATATTGTATTAAGCCTAGTCTATTGTTGCAGACTGTATGTTCTAGATATGTTATGGTTTTGTTGTTAGGAAAGCTGTCTCGTTGTGTATACTCCACATCTCTTTTTAATCATACAGCATACCTTCAATTTCTGAAAGTTTTTGTGCATCTCCTGTTTCATCAAGAACCATCATATCACCACCAGCTAGAGCATCACCTGCAAGATAATTTCAGAAGTAAGTAATTTTCAAAGAAAGAAAGAGGTACATTTTCTGAAAAGCTCAATGTCATTATAAAGTTTTTTTTAATTTTCTATGTAAAATTCCTATTTACCAGTGTGTGTTATATATAAACAAAATAGCTTTTATAATATTTCCTTTACTGACAGTCAAAACATTTTTATACAATGTAAAACACATGTAGGTATTCTTTATCTTTATTTATGGTGCCTATATAAGTGAGCATCAGTTTTTTTCTCTTAAAAATTTGTTACTTTAACTATTTGAAGTGTACTTATACAAAAAAAAATCAGTTGGCTTATTTGTTGGATGAGAAATGAATTCCTGAATAGCTTTTGAAAAGTAGATATAATTCCCATACCTTTATCACTCAATTCCTGGTTCACATTTACACCACTGTCTGTCAACACAACTTTGAACAAGTCTCCTATCTTCCCTTTAAACAAGGCATTAAGTTCTGTTGAATCCATTAGGGCTGTAAGCCTTGGCTCTAGGATGGTTGTGTCTACAGATTCACAACCATCCAAACAACAATGGAATGCCAAAGCTGGGGACAGTAATTCTTTGTGCAGCTGTTTAAGACTACTACCTGGCAATGTTTCCCCATTTCCATAATCTATGAAAGTGACAGTAACTTCTTGATCTTTTATGTCTGTCACAACTGCTCTATACCATGCGTCATCTTCAGAAAATTTAGCACAACAAAAGTTTCCAACTGATAAAGATGGTAAACTGACAGGTTGTAAGGTTGGACATAATGTTTGCAAAAGGTCGGACATGTTTTGTAGTGTACTTTCCTGACTTGCCAATTGTAAATAAAATCCTTTATCATCTATAGCAGATAAATAGACAATTACTTCTCCAACTGGTGTAACCTGGTCTTCCAGTGATAATGTACTCTCTGTAGAATTAGAGGAAGGTCTGGCTCTGGCATGTCCTGCTGAAATCAAACTCTGAGCTACATCTCCTTCTGCATTGGAAACAAATACTTCAGAATCAGTTATAAAATTAACAGTTAACTCTTGGTCTACAACTGCTTCTTCAAAAGCTGTATTGGCCTCATCTGACCATTTATCTGTTACTGGTTCAACCCCAGACAAACAACTTTTTACAGCGAATGCAGGTAAAGTTGAGAACTCAGATTTTAAAAGTTTTAAATCTAATACATTGACATTTTCTGAATTACCATAATCAACGAAACAAACTGTAACTTTATCACCAAGGCTTTCTACAATGACACGATACCATGAATCATCCTCTGTATACTTTGTACAATAAAACTGTCCTATTACAGCAGAATTTGTACCTTCTCCTGGATTCTCATTATAAGCTACTTGTAAACTACTCACTAATTTTTCCAAGGTGGCCTCTTCATCTGCAAACTGAATATAAAATTTGGACGGAGATATAACTGAGCTTACATAAGCAGAGACTGGATTGTTTTTCTGTATAGATCTACTTGGTATAGAACTTCCTGAGCTGGATGGTATATCTGTGGTAGTTACTGGTTTAGCCATTTCTGCTGGAAATTCATCCTTTCTAGCCACTGCTGTGTTAATTAGTTCTTCTGCAATGTTTTTAGACCCCATCGATATCTCTACAGTGTGTTCACTCTTGTCAGATGCCTTGACAAGACAAGAGACAGCATCCGTTACCAGACTTTCCATTATATCCTTTGAGTCAACATTCCAACCTGCTTGTAATGGTTTAACTCCAGCTAATTTACATTTAAATGCATATGCATTTGTACTTAACAATTCTGGAGAAGGTTTACGTAACCTTTCCATTTCTACTTTATCAGAGTTACCATAGTCAATAAAACGGACACAATATTTTCCAGCATCTATACTCTCTATGTATGCTCTATACCAGGCATTGTCATCAGTAAACTGAGCTATAACCTGCATTCCAACTTCTGCTTTCTCTACAGCAGACCTTGAAGATGATCCCGATGTATATTCCTCTTGAATTTTCTCAACAAGTTCATTTAGACTATCAGTAGTCTCAGCGAGCTGAATCCAAAAACAGTGTGGATTATCAATCCATGATACAAACACTTCTTTTGATGTGTCTAGAGGTAGTGTAGTACATGGGTATGGGTTGATTACTTTTTGACTTCCTGGGGAAAATGTGGCATGACCCATTTCTACTAGTTTGACTGCAATGTCATCATTGGTCTCAGAATCCTTTAACTCAACTTCATATGTTCCTGACAATAGACTTATAAATTTCAATTCCATATTTTTGTCAGTTGTTGATGTAGAAAAATCATCATTAGATTTTTCTGACCAAGAATTACCATTTGGCTTTACATTATTCAATAAGCATTTGATTCCCTGTATCGGCATACTATAGTATTGTGTTTTAATGGATTTTGCAGATAATTTTGATACTGTTTCTGTGTTTCCATAGTCAACAAATAAGACCTCTAAGTCATCTCCTTTGATGTTTAAAATTTCTGCTCTGTACCATTGTTCATCTTCTGAAAATTTAGCAATACAAGGCATTTGTATTTCAGGTTTGTCTAGATTTAATTCATTTTCAGAAATACTGTTATATTCTTTGTTCATGTTCTCAGACATTTCTTCAAAAGCAGGTACTTGATCTAAACTCTGACACCAGAATTCTGCTGGGTTATTTGAATAGACAACATTAACTGTTAATGATTTTCCAAGTACAAATTTCTGAGACACAAATCTGTTCAAGTTTTTATGTGTCCATTTATCTTCACTATCACCACCACTATGGATCACTGCAAGGCTACCTGATGGTTTAACATCCCAACTATCTCCATTTCCTTTTCTGTCTGTAACTGGTTTAGCTACTGGTGGGCTTGATGTAGTATCTCCCCAATCCTCATCAGCAGAAGCTTGAACTGTATTACCACCAAAACCTCCACCTCCAAATCCCCCACTTCTGCCACCTCCCCGGTCTCCACCAAAACCTCCCCCTCTACCACCTCTGTCACCACCAAAACCTCCTCCTCTACCACCTCTGTCACCACCAAACCCACCTCCTCTGCCACCTCTGTCGCCACCAAACCCACCTCCTCTGCCACCACCAAAACCACTTTCTCTGTCACCTCTGTCTCCACCAAATCCTCCTCCTCTACCACCTCTGTCACCCCCAAAACTACCTCCTCTGCCACCACCAAATCCACTTTCTCTGCCGCCTCGGTCTCCACCAAAACCACCTCCTCTGCCACCTCTGTTTTCACCAAAACTACCTCCTCTACCACCTCGATCTCCTCCAAATCCACCAGAACGTCCACCTCTGTCACTACTAAAACCACTACCACCATCATCTCTGTCGCCACCAAATCCACCACGGCCACCTCTGCTTCCACCACGACCTCCTCTGTCTCCTCCAAAACCCCCTCTTCTGCCACCAAATCCACCTTCACTTCCTTGATCACTACTGTTATCTTGGTCTCTGCCAAATCCTCCACTTCGACCTCCTCTTCCACCTCTGCTGCTGCCAAATCCTCTATCGTTATTGTCTTCTCTTCCAAACCCATTACTTCTACCTCCACGGCCACCTCGAAAACTCCCTCTTCCTCCTCTATCGCCTCCAAAACTTCCTCTACCTCCTCTGTCACCTCGAAAACTACTTCCACCAAATCCAGAACTGGTATTTGTGGTTGATGTTCCATCTCCCCAGTCATCATCAGTTTTTGTTGATGCACCAAATCCACCACCTCGGTCTCCACCACCAAATCCACCTCTTCCTCCTCTGTCGCCACCAAACCCTCCTCTTCTTCCACCTCTATCCCCACCATCACCATTTCTGTCTCCAAAACCACTACTACGGTCTCCACCACCAAATCCTCCTCTTCCTCCTCTATCACCCCCGAAACCACCGCTGCGGCCACTTCTACCAGAGTCTTCATCCCTTCCACCAAAGCTACGACTGGCTGCACCAAAGCCTCTACTTCCATCAGTGTCACCAAACCCACCAACTTTCACCTTCATATCATTATTGCCAGACATTTCTACAGATCTGTTTCTTCCCCGATCAACTGACTGCTCTGAACAAAGTGAATTTGACATGCTGCCGAATTTGAGATTTAAACTTTCTCCTGGTAATGTTGTCATCTCTACTGAGTATCTATCTTCCTCCTTGCTCCATTTCTTGAAAACTGTATTGAAGTTTTGGTCAAGTGTCAGATCTTCAAATTGTGTTATGTGTTCTGGGGACCAATATCCTTGTGAGGCAGCAATTCCTGAAACGATTTATATAAACTTTTAACAATAGGCTTATTATTTTTATGTTTGTCTGAAAACAGTATTTGATATATGCTTGTGGTCGCAAATGCTCAAGTGTTTACAGAAAATCAAAATGCTTGTGAGCACTGAAGGGTGAAGATTGCTTCCAATTTGAAATTTTGTGAAATTAAAATAAAACATTAATTTAGGCATATCAATTATAAAAAATACATAGTTTTGAAATGCGAATGATAATTGGCCTATTGGGTATGATGTTGATCTTTTACACAAATGTAAGATATTGACGTAATATTGAAAAGCAATTTAAATTTTAATAAAATAGGATAATACATAGATGTTGTATCTGTAACATAATAATGGTACCTCTTCATAACAAAAACTTAAATGCAAAGGGAGTTAACTGTTATTGTTCTTAATTGACAATCATGCATTTCTTTTTTGTATGTTCATTCAATTATCTCCATAATAAGCTTCATATATGAGTAGCAGCTGATATTTTAAAATACATTTTTATATACTTTATTTGCTCTTTATTGTTGTTTATTGTAAAAAAAAATATTTATCTTATTTTTCCAGTTTTGAAAATGACTTAAATTTCAAAAATACAAAACAGAGAAGTAATTTTTCTGCCTTTTGAAAAAAAAACTTAACATCAGTTGAGTCCAGTTTTTTCATGCGAGCAAAACTTACATTTTTTTGTTTTGATACATATATATGATGATATGCAGTTGAATGGTTCATAGAGGCTTAAGCTGTGTTAAGCAATCTTCACAAAATATCCCTTTCTTACGTACCTAAGTAAACTATCACTGGTAGACCTATTTGGCAAATGACCGCGATTTTTGGATAATCTGAGCGGAACGGAAAATAATTAGAGGTTCATCGTAAATTTGCTGTGTCACAGAAAATTATGCATGTCATCCGGAGATTTACCGTGTCGGCGGGAATTTGCCGTTTGTCCGATAAAACTGGTGTGTATTGAGTCATTGATAGAACCAGTGATGCGTGAGCGACGGTTATTAATAGATCGTTGTATATAGATGTTTACATAATCCATTATACAGTGTCGACGGGAATTAGCCGTTGGTCCGATAAAACTGGTGTGTATTGAGTCGTCAATAGAACTATTGGTGCGTGAGCGACGGTTATTAATAGCTCGTTGTGATATATACAATGTTTACAGTCAGATAAAAAAAAACTGTCTTATTACCCTTTTCAGTCGAGATAATAAAGTTACTTAATATTTAAATATCGAATTTGGTTATTATTCAATAAAGAAAAATCTATTTTAATGTGACCGATGAACAGGATGAATACACGCGGTAACTTTGAAATACACAACTACAAATATTCTCACCTTATAAAATTCTTCTTTATTGTCATGTTTAGAAAAGAAATCAGTTCCTGTACTAATAGTCTTATTACTGTAGATGCCGTAATCCGGCAAGATGTCACATACTGATATGAGACTTGTTTAATAGAAAAATATATGTATATGTCCGAGGCCAGAGATCATTTAAATTTCATTGGCAAATATGATCTGATTTACCTGTGTGATCCATTAATCTTTATTAATGAAATGCACATTTATACTCCTCGGGTTGAAGGCATATATAAACAAAACAACATGATTCGATGAGATAATAACAAGTTGCGAATTGTAGTCCGAATGTGTATACTAGTATATAGGAACATTTGGACATTATTTCATATTCATAATTAATTAGTTCATCCGTCATTTATTTTATTGAATTACTATTCAACTGTGGTTATACAAAAAGAACCGTTTATTGGAACTAAATACAATGAACCATCTGTTTATTTGATACAGGTGTCAACATTGAATTGAAGCTTTACATTTCTGACGGACAGGGGAAAGTTTTAACCTTAGTTGATATCAGGGGTCAACTGGTATAGCAGTATGTTGGTAATACACCGACCGTCGTTTCATAATATGTATATGTATTTACGCACAATGCAGTCCTTTCAAACTCGATTTCGCTAACTCGTAGGTTGTCTTTTAGACAAAAAAGTTCCATTTAAAAGATATGAAAGTTGCGTACATGTATACCTCAATGCACGTCTTGTTAACTAATCTGTTACATTGTGAAAAATAAATAAGTTCTAATTAAAAGATTGGAGGGTTATTTTACATGAATAAAAGTTTTTCTGATCATTATTGTTTTTCAATTATTTTTGAGAGTGCGATCTTAAAACTAAGTTCGTCCTGACATGCATGGAATATTTGCCACTGGAAGTTAAGCAACCAACAATCACTCATCTTAAAATAAGCCTGAGAGATAATATTCTTTTAAATTTTAATTGTTAGACAGTTTCTCCGTTTATTATAAAGCACTTTCAGGTGTAATGTTAAAGTGTATATTATATACATTCCGGGATGAGATTAATTTACTATAATTGCCAACAAAAAAAAAAGAAATGATGTTACGTTTCTTTTAATTAAAAATTAGACTGTAACGAATGTAGACCGAACATTTTAAATAATGAAATAATGCACGCCAAAAATATCTGTAATCAACTTGATCTTAAACTTGACTTCGCTCACAAAAGAGAATGTTAAAAATAACTCAGATCAATTGTGTCGACTGCACGAGATTTTCCAACGGCGGGAAATATCATGTAACTATAAACACAGGTGATGTTACTGACCGATTGTGGAATGTCAATTTAGGGTTAAATTTGATGTGTAATGATTGACATTATTGTGCGCGTTAAAGTTGAGGCTCTAGAAGGTTCATTTCAATTTATAACCGAAAATCTAAAATCAAGTTTTTTTTTTCAAATCAACGTTTAAGTTTTGAATCTTGTGGGAGGGAAACTTTATTTTATTTGTTTTTTAGGGGCAAAGGGGGTTACCATAAAAGTCTATAGGAAAATTAAATAAAACAATTTCGAAGGTCACAACTTGTAAACTAATGAAAACAATAATATAGCGAATTAAATAACTGTTATTAGATTGCAATAACATGACGGTTTTTTTTTGTTTCGGGAGTGGGAGTGTGATTACCTTATATACTTGAGATGTTCCATTTTCGGCATTATTTGTATTAGTTTAACTTGTTCTCGGTGGCGGATCCAGATTTTTTTATATAAGGGGAGGGGGCACTAACTGCTAATCATTCTTAAGTGATTCCCTATATAATCAACATTTATTTTCCAACAAAAAGGGGGTGGGCACCGTGCCATTCCCCCTATATAGCCGACCGAGCAATGTATAGCCAGTCAAGGTCGTTAAAAACTTCCATATATATGTATAGCCAGTCAAGGTCGTTAAAAACTCCCGGTTCTATTAGTTTCATTATATCTTCATCAGCATAACTGTATCGGGAGCATTCGAGTAAGGTAGCACTCCATAGATAGGTGTGTAGTTTCGCATGTATGACACAAGCGCTGCAGTTGGCCTAATGTATTAGAAGGCCAGGATCGGAAGATTATTAAACATTCTGTGGCTCAATTTTAATTTTATTTTCTAACTGTGAAGTGCTACCTAAGCCGTGGCCTGCAGAACCCTACTCATATTTTTAAAGGGTGTTCAGTCCAAAAGCACATTAAACCACTTCCAGCATTATACAGGTCGTGAGGTACAATTTGATGGGGAGGAGATTTCAATTGCTGTTCGTTGGGTTAATTTCCTATAACTACGAATTTTCGTTTTTTTTTTCATCAGATTTGCCCGAATTGTCTATTCTGTTAACTCCATGTAGACCCTCATACGCAATGTTTTGTCTTTTTTTTACCGCGAATATTTATATTTGTCAACAAATTAGACAACTTATTTAGTTATTTTTTGTATGTCGAGGATAACTTCAATGTAATTAAAAATCGATCTCTCATCGCTCCCGTTTTCTGATATCTTGTCAAGTTGATTTCCAAATGTTTTTTTTTCATTTAAGAATTGAATGCTTCTTTTTGTAACTTCATTTGGGTGTAAAAGCGTTGGCCGAAGTACCTTTTGTATGAAGCGCGGAAGCGCTTCATTCTAAAAATGTGCGCACGGTCAATGCTTTTACACCCCTATGAAGTTACAAAAAGACGCATCCAATACTTATAATTACATTGTTAATTAGCTAGGATCATGAAAACACGATTTTTATCATTTTTTTATTTAATTTGCCTGTGCACTTTACTGTTGGATCTCGTGTCATCATGAATGATAAATTTCATTGTGTAATGAAGTTGATTAAGGAATAACGCGAGATTTCAGTTAGCCACTAAGAATAACGTATTATAATGAAACATACATCTAATGTAATTATATATTTGTACCACTTATTTTATATTCAGATTATAAAAATAATCCCGAATACAAGTACTCCAAATCCCTGATAGCCCCCCCTGAAACACCATACCTATATCAATTTAATTAATTCTTAAGACAACCATTTAACTTCAAAGGGGTGGGTGACTGCTTTTTTCCCCTCATAAAATCATATTCTGATCCCCAATTTGATGAGAGAAAAAAATATTTTGGTCAGGCAGATGACAAAAAAATATTCTGAATTCCAGATTTCCCCATACCGTTTATTTTGAGAAAAAAATTGCTTGGTAACAGTGGGGAATAACGTTGTGTTCCAAATGATTTCTGACTCAGACCAAACCCCCTAACCCCTTGAATTTAAATGTTGCTCCTATACGCATTACTATCATGAATTTTCTATGTTTCATGTATATTTCAGGTCAGGTCCCAGGACATACGCTGTGTTCAAAATTATAAAAACGTAGAAAATTTATGATTCGTGTACGTGTAATATGTCTCAAGAAAATGGATTGAATTAAGTACTATAATCATTTTTTTTATTTATACAAAAATACACAAAGGCAATGAAAACCGTGTGTGCGCCAAGAACGGTCAATACGTATGACAACTCGGGGGCTGATTTAGGGGGGTGGGATGGGGGCAGGTTGTCCAGGTCCCTCCTTATGAAACTACATATTTGGTTAATTCAGACTTTTATTTGCACCTACCCTAATAATT